TCTTCGTAACGTTTCCTTTTTTTCTCCTCTTTGACTTCAGATACTCAAGGTTTCCTCCCGAGGAGTTTCCTGCTTTCTTAGGTGAACTCTCATTCTCCCTGGATTTTTTGATGTCCTCCTAACTGTCAATGCAATTATCCATCTCTTCCCAGCCTAAAGAAACTTTGGTATAACAAGTTTTCAAAGGAATTAACACTTTCCAGGTCAACATGAGGTCTTGAGGAAGACATCCCTCACTGAGAGCTCATTTAGTGATTGGATTCCTTAAGTCAGCAGGTAGCAATCACAAGGAGGAAATAATTTTTTTTTTCTTTTCTGAGTGTTAAACTGTTTTAACTCGTTTAAAATCCCAGGTGAGCCCTGCATGGAGTTAAAATGCCTTTTCTGTGTAGTCAGAGCATACAGAGGTGGATTATTCCATCCATGAGATGATGGTCCAGGTGGGAAGGTTTCAAGCTCCTGTAATTCTGCTTGGGAAAATGGTTCTGCAGTGACACAGATCTCATGGTTGAGATCTTCCTGATAACTGCCTGTGTTTGGACCTGCACAGGGCTGCTTTTCCCATTCTCTGTGTTCATCTAGGTTATGATCTGCCTGTTCACTGCTGTGTTTGTTAACCTGCTTATTGGAGGTAAAACCGCTTATTGGTGGTTTCCAAAATGAGAAAACCCTTTGGGCTTTGTAAATATATATACAAAAACATATATAAATATATAAATATATATATATGTTGAAGACATGATGTGTTCTTTACATTCATCACAAATGCAGCAGGATCCCCTGTCTAAAAATGGATTTATGTATAAAACACAGGAGAAGGGAGTCATAAGATGTGAATCCTTTTCCCACCATTACCTTTCTTGTGAATAGGAGTCAGTGAACTTGACTGTGCCTTATTCACATAAACGTGTAAATGTTTCCCTTGTGCATTGCTGACAACAGACCCAGCTCTGACAAACCCCATCACTTCTGCAAACTTGGGATCAAAGCCTGGATTGTCCCACCTTGACATCAGGGCTTCCACTTAATGAGGTCTGTAGGTATGTGAGGGGCTTTTTATTCCATTACTTAGGCAGATGTTGGGATGGAATAGAGGTGAGGAGCAGGTGAGTTTAGGAGTGTCCAATGGTTGCCTAATCCAAATTTTTCTCTGTTTCCTCAATTCCAAAAATACTAGAGGTTCTGCTTGCATTACACCCCAAGCATTTCTCTGTGTGTGTGTGTTGGTTGCAGCATTAATTCCTGCATGTTCCAGAGCAGGAGTTTTGCTTGTGCTGAGCTGCACAACCTCTCCTCAGGCAGAGCTGCTCCTGTCTGACACTGCTGGGATATTCAGCAATCAGCTCCCTCACTGAAACAGCACCATCACCTGATGCTTTTGTTCACGTCTTCAGTGTGCTTTGCTGACTTACCGGGAGTCATTATTCCTGCAGTTGTGTTTGGGTTTGTCTTCTCTTTTTCCCCTCACATAAATATGTTTTATTCTTTTTGCCTTCCTTTCATTTGTCACCTCTTTTAGTTGCAGATGTTTGCCCAAAATGCAGAGATGCCTTTGCTTGGTGCCTTACATTAACCATGACTTCAGCACCCCTGCCTGAAGAGGATCCAAACCAGGCACAGCCCCAGGGAAGCTCTCCAAGGACACCAGAGCAGCCTCTGGCATTGCCAAAACAGATTTTTAGCCCTCCCACCAAATGTCTGTTTCTTATCCACCCAGAATACTTAATATATCCTTAAGTCAAAGCAGAGCTGTATATATACCAATATATACTTAATTTATATCCCTCTCTGGAGATTTGGGATCACTGATTTAATGAAACAAGGTAGTCCATACTTGATAATAAAATCAGACAGAGATTATGGCTCCACAGGAACAACTTTTGGTGCCAACTCTGGCTCAATCCCTTGCTCTCCCTGTGCATGCTGGGCCATTTATTGCTGCACTCCCTCCCTCCTTTGAACTGTGGTTCTGGAAGCCCTTGAGGAACAACCCAGATAACTTAGTTGAATGAGAAAAGAAAGAGAGGAAGAAAGAGAGGAAGAAAGAGAGGAAGGGAGGGAGGGAGGGAGGGAGGGAGGAAGG